TGTGAGCGATTGTGGGTGCACTTAGGTACACCCACGTTACACCTATCCTCTGTCAGCTGCACTGGCTGCCCATTGGTCTCTGGACACGCTTCAAGGTGCTAGTCATTACTTATAAAGCCTTTCATGGCATCGGACCTGGGTACCTGAGAGACCGCCTCCTGCCAATTACCTCCCAAAGACCGATTCGATCGCACAGACTAGGCCTTCTCCGGATTCCATCTGCCAGCCAATGTCGTCTGCCGACCCCCCGGGGGAGAGCCTTCTCTGTTGCAGGTCCGGCCCTCTGGAACGAGCTCCTCGTGGAGATCCGGACCCTTACGACCCTCCAGGCCTTCCGTAAAGCCACTAAGTTCTGGCTGCTCCGGCAGGCCGGGGGCTGTAGCCCCACGGTAACTATGAATGTTGTGTGTATTTTAAACTGTCTTATTTATTCCCTTCCCCTTTGTATTGTAAGCCGCCCGGAGTCCTCCGGGAGTGGGCGGCATACAAGATTAATAAACTATAACTATAACTAACTATGTTAAACTATGTCAGTTTTATAGTACATTCTAAAACGTGGCTAGCTATTATTTTTCTGGGCAGAGCTCTAGAAATCACTCAAAATACAATAAGATGACAATCTAAGCATATATTAGGGATGGAAGCTGGTTTGGGTCAGTCACTTTTGCTTTCAATCCAACCCACTTCACAGAGTTTTTGTGGGGAAAATAGAAGGCAGGAGCATTAACTATGTTTACCACTTTGATACATATATGTATGCATATACACGTAAATATACAGATACATGTTCATGTACATATATGCATATAAAAGATGCAATAAAAATGTAATAATAATAATGAACAAGTCCAGATTATATAAAATGGGGAAATTGTGTAATCTCAAAGTGTTTAAATTTTGAATTGAAAGTAATTGTATTCTAAATTTAATCTGAATAACAGGACTAAGGGAAGGAGTCCTTTCCCCGGATAAATCCAGTGTTTTCTCAGTCCCAAAGCTTCTTTTAAGAAAATAAATAAACATTTGTATTTTCTTATTCTCTCATATTATTACTATTGTACTACAAATGGTTGCATACAAAGGATTTCAACATAAACTTGTTCCTCTTACATTCATGTTATTACAGTAAATATTCAGTTAAAATACTGTGTGGTCTGTTTGCCTTATTGCTTACTATTCTGGTTCATGCCTAAAAGACAAAGATTTTCTAAACCTTTTCCCTCATAGACATATCTTCATGATCCTAAATAAACATTTCTTTCCAATAATCAAACAAATATGGGCAGCATTTCTAGCTACATACTAAAAACAATTTAAATTACCTGCTTTCTATTGTATCTGCACCATTTAACATATGAACATACTTGTCTCTTGTACTTAGCCTTGTCATGATAACTGCTGTTGCTGTTGTATCAAACTGTGGAAAAAATATATATACAATACACCTTCAAGCATATAGAAAGTAAGCAACCCAAGGTCTTTGGGATTTATAATTCTGAAGGCTTTAGGAAAGCATATTATTATTATGTTAATTCAAGACATTCCCCCATGTCTTTTATTTGCTATTCAAAATCCCAAAAGGGAATTTCTGAAATGTAAAGAGGTTGTAGAAATACTTTTACTTTAATTCAATTAAACACTTTACAAAGATAATGAGCAAGGATTATGTTTCACCCTCTATTAAAATATTACAAATAAGTATAAAAACAGGGGTCTCATTTAAGAGATGATTACTAAGGAATATGGGCTCTAACAATTTCTTCATAAACTCATAGAATGAACATTAAAAATATCAAGTTTTAGTTCTATCTAGGAAGAGAATTTATATGAAAGTTGCACAAAATAGTAAAATTGCCAGCATTATACTTCACATACATTTGTTCTTGCAGCCTTGCTTATCAGTTGAAAAAGTTAAAATATAAAATTAGAATATTCTAGCTAGTGTTAACAAAAGCAATAAGAACTGCTAATACTTTTATGAAAGTTCTTTTTTCCTATTGATGTTTTTACATGTTATTGTTAATTCAGAAACATTTAACCTTCCATTTTAAACCCTAGTAACTATATGTTTTCTCTTAAACATAGTTATATTAATTATTCAACACTAGCTCTAATATGCTAATAAAAACTTTGACAATAAGATGGGCAGACATTCATTTACAACAGAATCAATATATCAAATGTGAAAAACAGTTACGTGTAGTAGTTAAGGCACTAGATTAGAAAAATAAGATTGTGACTTCTAATTCTCCCTTGGATACAAAGCCTGCTGCTTGACGTTGGTCCAGTAATACCCTCTGCCCTATGAAGCAGGCAGTTGCAAACCAATTCTGAAAGCTTGCCAAAAAAACTTCAGGGATTGATCCAGGCAGTAACTAAGAGTGAGCAATGATTCCAAGGCACATACACATAAAATCAAACATATTAGTGCCAACTTTTACTAATTCCATATAAAACTTGCTTTAAGATACATTCATCTTACTTGAGGTCTTCCTGCTCTCCCAATCATTTGCAAAATATCAGTTTCACTGTACTCTTGAAACATTCCTCCAGCATAATGCATTGTTGATTTTATAACTACCAGGTGTGCTGGTAAATTTACTCCCATGGCAAGTGTACTAGTAGTAACTGCAAAAATCAGATACTGAACTTGTTACAAGAGATGAGTTTTACAAAAGTATGGATATAAGTATATTTTTGTAACATACTAGGCTTTCTCCCTTTCAATACAATGAAGTGAGAAAAAAGTTTTAAGCTTACTCATTCAATTCTCCATCTTATAACATTATATATTATATTTTGCTGACACAACCCCTATTATTTCAAACAAGCATACTGAAATATTATGTCAAGTTGTAGCGAGACATTTCATTTTGCATATATCATATGCAGCAACTGTTTAAGTATCTAGTCCACTAGGGACATATACATCTAAAAGACTAGAAAGTGGAGATATGTGTAGCTCAGGATTAAAATTTTGAGAAATTGCTGTTTGCTTATCTTGGTTTCTTCTTTCAATGCTTCATTACCGAATTAGCTAATATCATCAGGGCTCTGAACAAGGTAGTAGAGTTCACACATATAAAATTTCACAAACATCATTTGTTTGGGTCAAAAAATTAATAATGTTGCTAGTTTCGTAATGAAATATCTATAAGAAGTTAGTCAGCCAAACTAAAATTCAGAAAATCTGCAACAAAATAGAAATAGCAATTTTTAAAAAATTACTAATTTACCAACAGGCCCTCTCAGAAATCCAGAGTCCCAGATTTTTCCAATTTTGGACTTTTATAGTTATAATAAAAATGAAAAATGACAGTACATAAAAATAAAATAAAAGTGTAAAAAACAGAATACCTCATCATGAGTCTTAATTTCAATATTATTAAGTGAAAAAGGGATAAATATTCTGTCCTCATACCGTGTTTTTCCCGAAAATATGACATGTCCTGAAAATAAGGCCATGCCAGATTTTTTTGGGTGGGCATAAATATATGCCAACCCACCCCCCTCTGGTCAGGCAGAGCGCCACTCACTGACCCAGCGGTCTCCCGAAGGCACCAAGCCACGCGAGCATCTGTTCCCCCTGGTTCCCATGACTTGGCGTCTTCAGGATACCACTGGGTCAGTGAGTGGCGCTCTGCCCATCTGGAGAGGGGGGTTGTGCAAGTACCTGTTCTGCCCTCCACCAGACGCACCACGACTTGGGCCAGCTCTCATCCAGCACTGTGGATAGCTTCTTCTGCAGCTTCCAAACCCCGGACGTCTGCTACCGAGTCTTCCGGCAGCTGGGGCAGAGAGTCTTCCAGCAGCCAGGCCACAACTATAGAGTAGGAGGTGCACTCCAAGAGCAGCCACTGCCAGAGGACTCTCTGCCCCTGCTCCTGAAAGACTCAGCATCAGAATTCTGGGTTTGGAAACTGCAGAAGAAGCCATCCTCAGTGCTGGGATGGTGGCAGTCGTGGCTCCTGAAAAGCCTGGTGTGGGGACAGGAGGACGTGGGCACAGCCTCGGGCAAATGACTGTGTTGTCGAAGCAGAGCAACACAGCTGTCATAAGGTGACCATGCTCACTGCCTCCTGCACCCCCAAAACAATAACACCCCCCCCCCCGATAATAAGGCCAAAGCCATATTTTGGGGGTCAAAAGAAAATAAGTCAATAAGAATTGAAATATTAAAAAGGGCAAGAGATATTAATGGATACAATATACTTCTTAATATGGTATTTGCTTTATTAAGGGTTAGAAAATAGAGGTATAGATTAGAAATTGGGAAAATATTATTATGTATACTGCTACATAATATATTATAATTACTATACATCCGTAAATGTTAGAAGTTGAAAGATTCTTACCATGTATACCTAAATAGCATTATGTTGTATTGTGTATAAAGTAAATTGACCCAGACAATACACTATTCACTAAGTACTTATGTATGTCAAAGAAAAAACTATAAAGTTATTAAAATATATTTTTATTTTGAAATGCCTTGTACTCACAAAGAACTGGTATGTCTCCCATATTAAAAGCTGCTTCAATTATTTTTCTATCAGACACTTCTACTCCAGCATGATGATAAGCAACTCCATAAATGAGAAGATCTAGAAATGAAATTCAAACTTAAAACATTGGTTTTTTCCCCTTATACAGAAATAATTATAGTTTCTCCAATTAGTATAACATACATACCCCTAAGCTTGGCTTCTTTTATTAAATTTGCAGATCTTTGTAATCTTTGTAAGGAGAGAATGAGAAAATATGGCAATTGCAATTAGTCATTAAATAAGTACAAAAAAGTAATAGTATTTTTAAAGATCACCCTCTTTGATTTCATCATGATAAACTTCAAATTGGACCAGGATGAAAAATAGGACAACTCCATTTATCACGTGATAAGACTAAAATATTTTTACTCATTTCATGACACCAATAAATAAACATTTTTTTTAGTTCCGAAAAGGCTACAAATAAATTTTCCATTTTTAAAAAGCTGTTCCCATTAAACATTGTTCTCACACCAGCATTCTTTTTTATTCTTCAATGAATACATATTTTCTCACAAGGCTTGGAGACCTGGCTGTGCAATAGAACTATACAATGGTTTTGTTGAGTGTTGTTGGTTTGTTTTATACCTTGATTGTGAATTGTGTTATATAAATATTATATGGTTTTATATTATTTTATATTTTATACTGTTCTTTTTTTGTTTTAATTGTAAGTCACCCAAAATCATCTATTTGAGATGGGCAACTATAAAATTGAAATAACAAATAAATTACTTTTTACTGTACTCATACAGAGAAATATTTATATGGAGTATGCAATTAAAGCAGTAAAATTATTGCTTAAAAAAATTGACTGCAAATCAATGAAGTGTACTTTTAAAGAATTTTTAAGACTGTTACGGGGTGACTGGAAAAACAACGAAGCTATTCAGGACTAATGCTCTAATTGCTGGTATCTGCTACATGACAACTGCAGAGCACAGAGAGATGATTTATTTTAGATATTCCAAAAGCAATTACTTTACAAAAGGATGAATCTAATTACATCATAAGTAAGTGGTCTGATGCTATTAATTTGCATTCCCTGAAATAGTCCTATGAAAAATATTCTTAGCAAAATCATTTCATTATCTAATCACTACATGCTAACAACTTGGTGGTGCTGATTCTATAACAATCTGTTATAAATTGATGAGAAGCACAGATTTTGCTACATATAGACTATGCATATGTTGTAATCAGGAGAAAGCCTGCACTACAAGGTACCTTTGTTTTTGTTCTATAGTCATAATAAATTTAGCATCTTTTGCTAGTACAGAAGCAGCTTGCTGAACTCCTTTCCTTGTGGCACAGAACTGTAAATAAGAAAACCGATTGTTTATAATGATTCTGAAATATACACTAGAACATGACAATTGTTAAGGGGGAAATTGTCATGCATACCACAAGTGTTGGCTTTTGTTCAGAATATGTTTGAATAACACTAGCTACTTTATAGTTAAGTGTTAAGTCAAATTTGAATTCAGTTTGATTGCTACTGCAGGGAAATCCAAGCACAACTTTGTGCAGCTTCACTGGACGGTGTCTTTCATCTATTTTCAGGCATACAGCAGGCCTCTTGCCATCTGAAAGCCATTCTGCAATCTTTAAAGGAAAAGAAAACATGTTAGGATTGAAATTGGAAAAAAAATGCCTTGGGCTGCAGTCCTGAAAGGACTTGCTCAAGAGGAACTGTACTTTAATCATGAAAGCTCCACTGGCACAAATATTTTTAGATTTACTGTACTGGGTATTCAGTGTGCTTGTCTGTGTCATGAATACAAAGTACTGTTCCAGAATTTTTACCAAGATTTACCAGCTAATACAGCTAAATACTGCTTACATGCCTATCTTTCTGGTATCATAGAGTTCTTTCTACTTTATATGAAGATGGGTGAGTGGAGAATGTTTTCTATATTCAAGACATTAGATGTTCTGTATAATATTCAAGTCACTTGCACTGATTTACTGCTATTCCAGGCAAAACGGGAATCAGAAATAAGCATTAGGTAGTAAATGAGTGATCCCTTATTTACTCAAGTAGGACATAGCAAACCGTTCCTTCCTCCACATTCATCCAAATAGCCAGTACAGATATCCTAGATGCCTGAGCAAATAGGCAGGAGAATCCATGACTATAAATGCAAGCCATATACATGCAAATTGGGATAACTTCTTCTTCGTCTTCTTCTTTTTAGCTATAAAGGCCAAATATTATGTTGTTTCTGGTATTCTGGCCACTGGCAGGTAGCAATAATGCTGGGTTTTCCTGAGGAAAACCAGGAGGAAATTCCCTGTTTTGTTTTAAAAAAAAGTTATTTTGAGACAAATAGCAGGGAGGTAGCTAGTCGTGAAAAGAAGCAGATCACTCAGAAAAGACCAATGGAAAGAAAACATAGAAGATTTTCTTTCTATTGCAGAACAATGTAAGCAAAATGAAGACTGGAAAAATAACAACACGGGTTCAATAGACTAGTTTTTAGGAAAAACACACAACCAAGAGATGCTTGAGCAGGAGGGATTGTAGTAATAACAAAGATAATCATTTCTGAACTGCAACTATGGAAGGGCAGCACATCTGAGCCACGAAAATCTTTTGAGAACATAAAAACACTATTTGCAGGAACAATAAAAGTTTCTATATGATCAGGGTGGAACCCATGGTAAAAGCAGGCCAAAGTATTTTGGCATTTGAGGTAAGATAATGAATTGAGGCATAAACCAAAAATCTGTAGGGAGCCAAGAGGAAGTGCTTCTACAATCTGATTGAAGGTTGCAAGATATGGGAGTCGAGATTACTTAGGACAAGCTAGCTGGATAATAGTGAGAGAAATCACTTCTGTCTTAAGTAAGATTAAGGTTAAATTTCACTTTTAGATTCTTTCATTTTAAAATATAGTAGTCTGATGCATTATAGGATCAGGAGAGATATAACAGTGACTGCAAGTCATATCTGAAGAGCTGTCACAGAAGAGAGATGAACTTACTCTTTATTAATGGTTAAAACTATAACTGTGAGAAGGATCTTGGCGTCCTAGTGGACAACCATTTAAATATGAGCCAGCAGTGTGCAGCAGCTGCCAAAAAAGCCAACACAGTTCTAGGCTACATAAACAGAGAGATAGA